AAAACGTATGTGATCCAATATATGCTACTAGGGATGTCCCAACTATAGATATAAAAAACAACAAATTGACATAAGACACTGACATAAAACATAACTGATTAAAAAAAAATTTTTTTATTCAAAATATCTGAATATTACAATATTGATATTTATCACACAATTACCTGTGTAATAAATACTTACATATTCGTACTTGGTTAATTATATTGATCTCACTTTTTTTTTAATATTTAAAACATCTGAACTTTGTTTAAGTTAACATGTACTTTTCGTTTTGTCTTTTTTTTTGGTACTTTTTGTTTTAGTATTTTTTGTATAATTGATATTTATCACACAATTACTTATGTAATAAATTCATACATATATGTACTTAGTTAATTATATTGATTTCACTTCCTTTTTGAACATAATTAATTTAAAACATCTACACTTTGTTTGAGTTAACATGTGCTTTTTGTTATGTAGTTTTTGTTTTGGTATTTTTTATTTGGTACTTTTTATTTTGGTACTTTTTTATACGTACTCGGCGTCTTTTGTTTTTTTTGTAAAGATTATTCTTACTTCGCTATGGTGATATATCGTTCTCTATATCGTGATGATATATCGTTACATAGCGACTACAATCGTACACGTGACGAAGCAGATATAATGTACCGTACGTCAGTATGATTGCTTCGCTGTGACTTCATTGCGACACAGTGAACGATTAAACGATTACGACGTTTACATTAATTTTTCTTGTTATAATAACTTTAATGTGTTGTGGCATCGGATTTGGAATTTTCAAACAGAGAGAGAGAGAGAGAGAGAGGGAGAGAGGGAGAGGGAGAGAGAGAGAGAATAGTGATGTACGTGAGCAGGCTCGATCGAGACAACCTGACGAACAAAGTTCTCTCACGTAAGTGTGAGAGAGAAAGAGAGAGAGAAAGAGAAAGAGATAGAGAGAAAGAGAGAGAGAGGGAGAGAGAGAGAGACGTGAACCGTCGTTTTGAGCTGAGTTTTTTTGTATTTCCTTGTTTTCTTCAATTGCCAATTTTTTTAACTACGTTATTTAAGTAATTAATTACAAGTGTCTAATGTTGCTCGATATCGCAGTGATGTCGAGAACGAC